TCTTCTATACTTGAGCCAATGACCTAACATGGGAGAACTGACATGTGCAGAAGGCCCCTATGACCTGAACATATGGACGACACTCCAACTACATTGCCCCGCTTTATTCCAGATCAATGACCCCCTTTGAATAACTCAGTATTGTACTGATACTGGTCCTCTTAGGCAATACTTATTTATCCTTTAGACTCAAATGGTCACACCACCTTAGGGCCATAAAGCTCAGTTTATGTCCCGATGGGAATGTTACCTGGGTGTTTCCCTCACATGCGGACAGTGCAAAAGAGCTGTAAAATGTTCTTAGAAATCTTTTATAAACATTAATTTACAGGAAATCAACTTCAAAATCCTTACTAGGTGGTACAGAACCCCATCACTCCTACATACTTTTACTCTAATGTTACTGAAACTTGCTAGCGGTGTAATTCTGAAAGGGGTGCCCTTTAACATATATTCTGGTCATGTTTGAAGTTGAGAACCTTCTGAAATTGAGTCAGAACTGTAACCCCAATTTTGTTTACAAATTAAAACAATTCTGAATGACCCAGCCCTCTTCTTACACAAATCCCAGATTTCTCTCAAAACTTAGCTTAGGTCAGTTCTCTGCCATCTGTTAAATGCAGCCAAGGCCTGCATCCTCTGGAAATGGAAAAACTCTTCCCCACCTATGATAGCCATGTGGCTCAATAGGGTGGAGGAAATCAGGAGGATGGAAACCTTATCCATCTTCCCAAAACAAATGTAAAATCCATCTTCAAACATGATTCTACTGGAATCAAAATGCTATGCTGCCACAGGAGAGTATATAGTGTATGGAACCTTGTAAACATGCTATTTCTCAAAATTATGCATATGAATATTGCTTAATGATAGTTGTGCATTTTTGATGTAGTTTTATTTCTACTTGGTAAGCATATTTAAGAAAACATCAGAGGAAAATGACATTTTATTTTTGCTCATGAACTCAGCCTTGGCATATATGAGTATCCTTTAGTAAATTAGGCCCACAGTGTAGACCGACAGCAAAACAATGAAGCCCTGACTACATCAAAATGTTAATCTCCTTTGATCCTGCTACTAAGCAGAGGCTAACAGGATGCTGATAGCAAGACATATTCAAATATTTCTAAGTACAAACATATTTAACATTTTTTTTAACAAATACTTTATTAAGTAATTATCTGTCTGAAGTTCAGATTTGAAGTAAAATGATTTCAGCAACAAATGTTAAAAGCAGAAATCAAGCCTTCAGAGTTAAGAGAGTGCCACTAATAAAGAAGATCTTGTTCCATTTGTTGTCCTTGTCATTATTTCTTTTTTATTACAGCTTGGTCTGACATATTAACTAGAGAGAAACTCATACAAGGAAAAAAACTGTCATTTGTAGTAATAAATTTGTGTCACCTTATATCAAAGATGAACGTTATTGTTAATCAGCTGTCATAAACCAGAGCAGTCAATGCTAAACAGCCAGGATAGATTCTCCTCTTATTTCAATTTATGCATTGTCTCTAAATGTCAAAACACAAGACTTTTTCCTCTGCACCTTTTTTTCTCTCGCCTTTTCCACATCTTACCCTGAATTTCTCGGTGCTGACAATATGTAACAATTCAATGTGTTTGTCCGTTCCGTTCCACTTTAAATGCCTCATCACATTTCAAGATTATGAGGCATTTAAAGTGGAACAGAACTAAAAATGTAATAATCTACTATGTTGTAGAAATTTTTTTTTCTTGAATTCCTCTTAAAAACCTAAATGCACTTCAAGTTATTTGAGGGTTCCTAGGCACATCTGGGGAGGTTTCTATGTCACCACTGAGTTAAAGTGGTTTTAAAGCCTTAAGAGTTTTTACTTTAATACATTCTCTGCATGAAGGTGAAATGCCTGTGCTGAACAATCTCCCCCCAGATTTTGCACAGTACTGTACTAAGCCTATAGCATAAGGATTAAAAATAGTTAATGGTTAATAGTAAAGATTTTCAATAATTTGGTACTCTAAAGCCGGCTACACATGGATCGATTTCCGAACGATTTTTCTTTCGAAAATTGGACAAGAATAATCGAACGATTTTCACTCTGTTAGTGGGGCAATGGCACTGGACCGATTTTCGAGTCTCCTTCCCATTTTGTTTATCGGGCATGTGTTGAAAATTCGTGAAAAACGACCGATTTTTTAAATCATTGGTGGCACCATCGGATTACAGAACAAACAACGTTTTCTCTTTTCGTGTATGGCCTGCTTAATCTATGTAACTAATCTTTTAATTTCTCGTTACAAATATTTTTTTTCCTTCTTGGAAATACCATGATTACCATCCAGCTCTTTCCAGGATAACCCAATGAATCCTGAATTTTAGTTCCAAGCACTGGGTTTGCTTAATACAAACTTTTTTTTTTTTAATACAACATAAAGTGTATAGTTGCTTTATCACTGTGACTGTAAAGTGTCAAAGATCACCATAAAATAAAACCATCTGCATTATCTTTTATTTATCTGTAAGAGAAATCTGTAGGAGTCAATGGATTTAGAGAAGTACCTAGTCTTTTTATCCCACAGTCGTGTACTTTGTGATAAACATCAAGTTTGGGTTATGGTTACGTCAAAGTGGTGCACGCATTCAGTATCTCAAAGGAGCCAGATACATAGATTTACATCTGTGGAGCACACCGCACTGGCAAAAGTTTATTTTCTGTTAAGATACCACTGTTGTTTGAAAATCAATAAAGAGCAGATAGAAGTAAAGTCGTTTTTTTTTTTTTTCGTTGTTTTTTTTTTTACTTTCAAGGCTGCTCAAAGGTAAAGAGCTGCAAATAAACAAGTACACAAAGGGTAAAATGCATTTAGCTTTTTTATTTTCTATCATACTTGGTAGACATCTTTTTTACATAATTTAACATCTGTTTGTGAATGCCCATTATACTTGCTGCAGTTGTACATTTCTGATACAGAGATCAAAAAGAGACTTTTTGAAATTCTTTTTTTCAGAGTTTTGGTTTTGCAGTGACTAAGCTAAAATATATGTGTGTTATAATACTAAACATAGTAATAACAGGCAGTGTAATACATATGTCAGTGCACTGTATTATTAACATTTGTTCTAATAATCAAATAATTAAAAAAATTAAAGCGGAACTCCAGTTTTTAAGTTACAATAGTTTGTGTGGAAAAAGTTGGTCCAAACCAACTATTATCCACCAATATCCCTTGGGACACTAGGACAGCAACCAAATATTAACCAATTGCCTACCAGGTACTTATACCCCCTCCTGCCCAGGCCAATTTTCAGCTTTTAGTGCTGTCGCAGTTTGAATGACAATTGCGCAGTCATGCAACACTGTACCCATAAGAAATTTTTATCATTTTTTTCACACAAATATATTTCTTTTGATAGTATTTACTTGCCACTAGGTGTTTTATTTTTTGCGCTATAAACAAAAAAATAGCAACAAATTTGAACAAAATAAAAGTCATTGTTTCTATTATACAATTTTGCAAACAGGTAATTTTTCTCCTTCACTGGTGTGTGCGTTGATGAGGTTGCACTGATAGGCAGCACTGATGGGCACTGATAGGCGGCACTAATGGGCACTAATAGGTGGCACTGATGAGGTTGCACAGATAGGCAGCACTGATGGGCACTGATAGGCAGCACTGATAGATGGCACTGATAGGTGGCACTGATGAACTGGCACTGATGATGCTGCACTGATACGCAACAATGATGGGCACTGATGGGCACTGATCGGCAGCACTGATGGGTAGCACTGATGGGTGGCACTGCTGGGCACTGGTGGGTGGCACTGCTGGACACAGGTGGGTGGCACTACTAGACATTGATGGGCACAGGTGGATGGCACTGCTGGGCACAGGTGGGTAGCATTGATGGGCACTTCCGGGTGGCACTGCTGGGCACAGGTGGGTGGCACTGGTGCGTGGAACTGCTGGGCACCGATCATCAGGGCACTGATAATCATTGCCCTAATGATCGGTGTCGATCTATCCTCTGACAATTGCCGGCTATCGGCAGTACTTTCCTGAGGAAAGTGCAGTCGATAACCGGCAACTGCATTTACTGGTGATCTGCTGTCTTTGCACACAGCTGATCACGTGGAAAAAGGCCACTGTGATTGGCCTTTTACCACATCACGTGATCAGCTGTGGCCCTAGGACACAGCAATCACGGAGACTGCCGGGGGAGCGCACCCTTGTGTGCTCGTGGGAGGATGTGTTCTGGGAGGACGTCATATGACACCCTCCCAGGACTGGACAACCATGCTGTAATTGTCATTCAGCTATAGCGCGGTTGCCAAGTGGTTAAACATTGTTAAAGAGAATATAATTTGATTTATACATGATTAAAAGCAATTAGCACAAAATGACAAAATGTGGCTTCAGTATGATATATTCACCATACAATGTACATCAATCCTTATAAAATATACTAATTCTCATTCAATATCCATGAGAAAGCCCCGACGCATTTCAAACTAGAGCTTCTTCAGGGGCATGTATATTGCATAGTAAATATATCATACTGGAACCACATATTTTAATTGCTTTTAACCATGTATAAATAAAATTATATTCTATTAAAGATATTTTATGTTTGGTTGCTGCTTTAACCACCTCCCGCCCACCATATAGTAATATGATGGGCGCAAGGTGGTTCTCTCGTTCTCGGAGGATGTCATATGACGTCCTCCCCATTCTCACTGCGCATGAGCACCTCAGGGAGTGTGCAGCGCGGAGATCGGTGGTGCGCTGTGTCCCTCAGACACAGCGGATCACCGATCACGGAAAGAGCCGAAGATGTTGGTTCAGTCATGTAATCAGCTGTGTCCAATCACAGCTGATCACATGTAAACAGGGAAATGCCGGTTATCGGCATTTCTCTCCTCTCGAGCTGTCACGCTGACAGCTTGAGAGGAGAGGAGAGCTGGTAATCAGCTTTCCGCAGACGGGACATGTACACTGATCATCAGGGCACTGATGATCAGTGTGCCCTGATGATCAGTGTAGCCCCAGCAGCGCCACCTGTCAGTGTCCATCAGTGCCTTGTGTCAGTGCTCATCAGTGCCTCGTGCCAGTGCCCATCAGTGCCACATCAATGCCACATATCAGTGCCTACCAGTACACATCAATGCCACATATCAGTGCCCATTTGATCTGCATTTCAGTGTCATCCATCAGTGCCAGTCAGTGCCACCTATCAATGACAATCAGTGCCACCTATCAGTGCTGCCAATCAGTGCCACCTATCAGTGTCAGTCAGTGCTGCCTATCAGTGCTAGTCAGTACCGCCTATCAGTGCCTGTAAGTGCCACCTAACAGTGCCAGTCAGTGCCGCCTATCAGTGCTGCCTATCAGTGCCATATATGAGTGCTGCCTTTCAGTGCTTATCAGTGATGCCTGGCAATGCCCATCAGTGCCACCTACCAGTGCCTCCTCATCAGTGTGCCACCTATCAGTGTCTATCAGTGCCCATCACTGCAGCCTCATTAGCGCATATCAGTGAAGGAGAAAAATCACTTATTTACAAAATTCTATAACAAAAACTAAGAAAAAACGTTTTTTTTTTTCAAAATTGTCAGTGGTTTTTGGTTTGTTTAAGAAAAAATAAAAAACCCAGAGGTGATTAAATACCACCAAAATACAGCTCTATCTGTCACAAAAAAATTATAAAAATTTCACATGGGTACAATGTTGCATAACCGCGCAATTGTCATTCAAAGTGCAACAGCGCTGAAAGCTGGAAATTGGTCTGGGCAGGAAGGGGGTATAAGTGCCCTGTAGGCTAGCTGTTAAAGTCCCAAGGGGTAATGGTAGCGTGCTTTGTTATGAGTTTAGGGATGTGGCAGCTTCCTGCTCTTCTGGGGGGGGTTCTTTTTCTAGTTTTTTAAATAACTATTACCTTCCCTACCAATTGCAGACCCTGGGAGCGCTGTATAATCTGTATGTAGCCTTAGCTACATACAATATACTGCCCAGTGTTCCAGTGATGGATGGGAACTGTGTGCCCCACTCCCAGAGCAAAATTGAGTTGGGCTGAGTACTGATCAACCATTCACAGGGAGTTTAATATTCTATGAATGAATACAAAGCTTCCTCTGATTAGCTAAATTGGAGGCCATGATGTCATCTGCCTGTCTCTCTACCTCAGCCAATCAGAGGAAACTTCATTTTTTTCATAAACTAAAAGATCCCTGTAAATAGCTGAGCAGCACTCAGCCCAACTCAATGCCAGAACACAGCACTGTACATTGTAATTGCAAAAACAATGCATTTTGCTCCTAATATCAGGTACAACTGGAGCAGAAATAAGGCAGCAGTGTAAAGGATGCTGGGTAAGAGCAATATCAGGAGTAGGATAAATGGCACACAGTATCTGACAGCAAGCAAAGCAAAACACTGACATGAAGTGAACTAGCAGAGGAGAGACTAAATTCCCTCCTAGCAACAAGGTAGAGACTGATTTCTAGAAACTGCTGGCTTCTGGGGGGCACGCGCTAGTGAACACCAGAACTACAACTTCCTGCTCTGAGAAGCACAGTACCGCCAGAAGTTGATACAGTTTGATGATGGTGGGAATATTTTATGCAAATTAGTCCAAAGAAAGGTGAATTTTTATTCAACCAAATTTGCACCGTTGTTTTCAAACTAATTATATAGGGGCTATATCGAACCCTGCGCGGGGGGTTTTGAGTGAACACCCACAGTGGGCTGTTTTGTGACTTATCCTTTAAGCGTAGTTCTCCTGCACAAAAGAAATACTGCTCCAGGGTGGCAGGGCTATGCGAAACCACGTGTATATATACATGATTTTGCATTTCTGAGTAGGCCTATGGCAGCCTCAGCTGTTGACCATCGGATCTTTGCCGGTGATTCCCCGCTGCCACCTGGCGATCGCCGAGTATTACTGACGGGGGAGAGGTCTGTATGTAAACAATACAGATTTCTCCCCTGTGAGCTCCTGCACACTGCTTTGTATTGCTGTGCATGCGCATTACTGTCTCATATACTTCTGTGGGGGTTGTCTACCTTCTCCCAGAATTTGTGAACATCAAAGTGAGAATTGTTAACTCAATTTGAGAACAAATATACAGTAAAAAAAATAATTCTTTTTAATTATCATTTATAAAATAAATGGTTACATAGTTACATAGTTAGTCTGGCTGAAAAAAAGACATCATTAGTAAGACCTCATCTGGAATATGCCGTTCAGTTTTGGGCACCAATTCACAAAAAGAATATTGGGGAACTGTAGAAAGTACAGAGAAGGGCAATTAAACTGATATGAGGCATGGAGGAGATCAGCTATGAGGAGAGATTAGAGGAACTAAATTTATTCTCTCTTGAGAAGAGGAGATTAAGGGGGGATATGATCAACATGTATAAATACATCAGTGGTTCATATAGTGAACTCGGTGTAGAGTTATTCATCCTGAGGTCATCACAGAGGACAAGGGGGCACTCTTTACAATCTGGAGGAAAAGAAATTTAATCTCCAAACACAGAAAGGTTTCTTCACAGTGAGAGCTGTGAAAATGTGGAATAGACTCCCTCAAGAGTTGGTTCTGGCCAGCTCAGTGGATTGCTTCAAAAAAAAGGCCTGGATTCTTTCTTAGATACACAGATGATAACTGGATACTAACATTTATAGGTAAAGTTGATCCAGGGAATATCCAATTGCCTCTCGGGGGATCAGGAAGGAATTTTTTTCCCAGCAGGTGCAAATTGAATCATGCTTTGCTGGGGGTTTTTTTTGCCTTCCTCTGGATCAACTGTGGGTATAGGATTATAACTTTTTTTTCTTTCTATGGTTGTACTGGATGGACTTTTTTCAGCCAGACTAACTATGTAACTATGATATGACTGGTGTGGTGGTGATCTGGGACATTGACAGGTGACAGCATGTTAAAAAAAAATTAAATACATTTTATTCAATATTTAAATTTTTTTTAAATATATATGTTTTTTCAACAAAAAAAATAACTTTCATTAGAGTAGTTCAATGTACAGGGGCTGTGCTGTGTGGTACCATGTGATAGCTGTTGAAAGCTCACTAGTAAAGGAAGCAAAGCTGTTTTTAATCATATTGATTTATAACAGCTTTGTTGACTTTGTGATCATGTGATTGCACAGCGATCACATGATCACTGGTTCCTGAATACTGATATCCACATTCTGTTGTGTCCGGTGGATGGGGCAGTCTGTACAGGCAAAATGAGGTCACTTTGTTTGTAAGTGGTGCCCACCCGCAGTAAATGTACTGAAGGGCAGTCGGCAAGTGGTTTATAGTTCTGGGGTCTGAACTGGAAGAATAATTGAAAAAAGGTCTAAACATTTATTTAGCTTTACGCATTTAACCACTTCCAGTCTGGCTCATGTATATAAACAGCCAGACGGGAGCAGTGCAGGAGCGGGGGTGGACGTTTATAAATGTCCTCCTGCATTCTCTGCCTGTGCACACTCCCTGGGAGCGCGCACCATGATCTGTCCAGAGGACACAGAGCAGAACACTGATTGCTCTACGGGACCTCTGTGTGAGGTCCCAAACTTGTGATCACTGATTGGCCAATCAGTGATCATAAGAATAGTAGTAAGCAGGATGTCACTTTCTGACATCATTGCTTACTACTAGTGAAATCTGTGAATGATCACAGAGGTCACATGGTACAAGGCTATTCACAACAGCCTTGTACCATGTGACAAGCTGTGACCAATCACAGCTCTCACAGTATTTCACAATTGCTGCAAAAATGCAACCAGAGAGGAGAAATGATTGCTTTTACAGCCTGTATGGGTGTAAAAGCAATCAGTGTAAAAAAAAAGAAAAAAAAAAATCTTTGTCACCCCCCACAAGTAGTACAGTGTCACTATGGTGACACTGTACTGCTAGGGTGACAGTATGTTAAAAAAAAAAACCCATAAATAATAATATAAAAAAATAAAATAACAGTGTAATTTGGGTTATTTAATTTTTTTTTTGTAAAAAGGTAGCTGAATACATTTTGGCCAAGATTTATGAAGAAAGATTATTTATTTGCAAAATGTTATAAGAAAAACACTTTTTTTTTCAAAATGTTTGTACTTTTTCATTTATATAGCAAAAAAAAAAAAAAAAAATCCCAGTGGTGAATAAATACCAAATACCAAAATAAAGCTTTATCTGTCTCAAAAAATGTGAAAAAATTCATATGGGTACAGTGCTGCATGACCGTGCAATCATTCAAAGTTTGAGAGTACCGAAAGCTGAAAATTGGCCTGGACAGGAAGGGGTTTAAAGTGTACGGACTTGAAGAGGTTAAGGAATAGCACAAGCTGATTCACTAAGGATGAAGCTTCTGTGGCCAGCTAGTACACTATAAACATTTAATAAATGTCTTACCATGCATGGATCATCAAATGTTTTACATTTTTGTACTGCCAGAAATGTTTCATATATATGAGACAGCAGGAAGCTGTCAGTTTCATTTTGTCAGGTAGTGTGACCTCATGATTGATGTGACTTACAATGTAAAACATTATTCTTCACTTTAGAAGAGCCTGCCAAAAGTGTCAGGGGTACAATTCCTGTTGCAGCTTTATACCTCTAGCTGCTGCCTCTGCAGCTAAAGAGGGGGGTAGCAGTTGGGGGTGGTAAAATCATGGCTCAACAGCAGAGTTTAACCAACCCTCAACCACTAGCACATTTAATGCATGGTTGGAAGTGATCATTTTCTAGTTAGTGCTGTGAAAAAAAAAAGTCTCCAAGGGCATTTGAGGTGTGTCACCTAATGCCTGTGCAAAGCTTCTCATGTTCTATAGCTCATTGGTCATTAACACTACAGTTGTGTTAATGCATGTTAAAAGCTTCTTTTAAATTCAACACCTGTGTGAAAAAGCTCAAAGTGAATACATACATATATGGAAAGCAGAGAACAAGCTGATTGGCTGAGGGGCTCTGGGCTCAATGGACATCAAACCACGTTGGAGTTTCCCCTACAAAGCTCAGAGGCCTGAGGAGCGAGGAGGAAGAGGCTGAGACCGGCTGAGGGAGCCGAGAGAGACCAGAGAGGGGAGAATTCCCCTTTCTGATCTGAGCTTACCAGTACTCATTGGAGATGTCCATTCTGTACATATGGATCCCTGAGTTTTCACCTATGAGATCAGCATTAATGCTACTATACCAGTAGCTTTCTGGTGAGTGCATAGCCATTAGTGGTGGTGGATTTCCTCACTGGAATAAGAACACTTTTTTGGATATTCAGCATTGGTATTGCTGTGCCTTGTAGTACCACAGACACTTTTTTTTATCAGAGTTTCATCACCTTACTTTATTATTGGATGGGCATATACTGCATGTATCATACCACTTTATCACTTCAGTGTTATTGTTTATATACTTTATTGCTAATTTTGCACTTAATGATGACATTTAATGTTTAGCACTTCACTTTATTTTATATACTAGAGAACATGGTCAGAGACTGCGGACATATTAGAAGAGATGGTCAAGGACTGCCGACTGGGTAGAGAAGATAGCTAGAGATTGCAGACAGGTTATACAACACTAAAGAAATTTTACATGAAATGGTCTGAGACTGCAAGTGTACAACACAAGTATTTTAGACTACTTAT